TTCAATTCAATTCAATTCAATTCAATGGCCCCTCCGAGAGTGAATAAAAGAGGAGCGACAGGGGAGTGGAGTTTGCAGGAGATCATTAGTTCATTTAATTGGTTCGTGACTCTCCAAGACTCCTTACTAAGTTCTGCAGATCTCGGCCTGGCAGCTCTCCAAGCCAGATAAGGTCTGTGACCGTAAATCCTCCCTTGAAAGACTTTGCTGGATGGGAAGGAGCAGAATTCACCGTCAATTAATAAAAGGGGATTTTGTCGGGACAAGGAGTCGGCTTCATGCTCTCGGGAAGCCTCGTTCAGAACAACTGGCCACTTAGTTGCTAAAGTTGTGACGGACCTCCTCAGAGCTACCTCAAAACCTTGTTTCAAAGTTATGACGGCTTTCCCCCCCCATCCTTGGTTATGTGGCCACATTTTGGACACTTGGACACTGTCCCAGATTGACGGCCGTTGGTGGTTTCCCGCGATCAGCACAGAGGATGTTTTGCGGAAAAATCAGCATCCACCTCCGATTTCCAAGGGGGGAGCGGGGAACATCCATTGGGTTGCTTTGGTTTAACGACCATTGGGTTCGTTTAACGACCGTTCGGTTCGTTTAACAATGACCCCTTTTGGTTTAACGATGGCGGTGTTCATTTAATGGCTAAAAATAAGAAGTGATAAAATCAGGCAGGTTCACACGGGGAATTAATCTAATTAAATTTAACCCGCCTTGTGACTTACAGGCATTTTTTGACTTGCAACAGTTCATTTAGCGACCGCTCGAAGTTACAACAGCACTGAGAAAGGGACTTATGACTGTTTTTCACACTTAACGACCGTTGCATCATCGCAGGCTCAAAATTCAGACGCTTGGCAACCGACTCGTCTTTATGACGGTCGCAGTCACGCGACCCCCCCTTTGGGGAACATCTGACGAGCCGAGTCCATGCCAGATTCGCTTAACAACGATGTCCCTAACTTAAGAACGGCAGGCGGTTCACTTAATGACGGCGGCAAGCAAGATCGTACCCAAAGGGGACAAAATTCACTGAACGGATGTCAATTTTGGGGGGGGCCCGTTGTGGTCGTGCAGCGAGGACTCCCTGTTCTTGGTTTTACGAGAGCGGCGTTCAACGAGGGGTTGGTCTAAATGACCTCTCATGTCCCCTCCTTGGCTTTGAACATCGCACGAGTCTAGGCATCCAGGAATGATAACTACGCAGCTCGTTCTTCTCGGGCTCCGAGCAGCACAAAACGAGGAACATAAATTTTTTTCTTTTCTTTTCTTTTCTTTCGATTTATTTCTTCGGTTGCTTTCTCCGCCCGCTGACTTCTGGAGCAGTTGACACTGTTCCAGCCTCGTCCTTCACTCTCCTCCCAACCCTCTTTTTCCTTGTTTCTTTTATGAGGTCATTCAAACATTTCATTGTGTTTCCTCATTTTTTTCTCTCTCCCCGTAAGCTGCTGGCAAGCCTCTTCTTCCAAGGTTTGGAGAGAAAACACACACACACAAACACACAGACAGAAACACACACCTGCCTCATTTCAGAAGAACTGCGGGGACCCAGATTCTCTCCGTTTATTAAATGTATTTAAATGTATTTGTTATGATCTATGAAATTGACTAATTTTGTCCCAGCCCAATGAATTAAATTTTAACGAAACAATTAAACAGAGATTGGATAACCATTTGTGGTGTAGGGTTTCCGGCCTAGGCAAGGGGTTGGACTAGATGATCTCCGAGATTCCTTCTAGCTCTGTGATTCTGCTATTTCCTTCCTTCCTTCCTTCCTTCCTTCCTTCCTTCCTTCCTTCCTTCCTTCCTTCCTTCCTTCC